GCTAACCTCAGTTAATTACCATTGGCCTCCTTTACTCCTCTAGCCATCGACCTCAAAACATAAATCTATACAAAGTTTACAAGGTCATGAGATATCCGAGAGGGACGCACTGTTTAGATATTTAAAAAAAAAACCCTGAAAAAGTTCAGTGAATGTGCTTCTTTTTAATATTATATAAGGTTCTTAAGGATTACCAATGCTAGCTGAACTTACATGGTATTTTATATCCGGATGTCAGTATTATTATATACTAGCTGACCCGGCAGACTTCGTAATGCCTCAATCGATAAATAAAAGACCTAAATTTTTGTATAAAATAATCTTAAAACAAACAAAATAAAACCGTCCGACGGGGGACACATGAAAGCAAAAACATAATTATTATTTTTATTTAAGTCCGAGCATTTTCACATTTATCTACCTTTTAAACCTTCTCTGGACTTCCACAAATAATTCAATACCAAAATTAGCGAAATCGGCCCAGCCGTTCTCGAGTTTTAGCGAAACTAACGAACAGCAATTCATTTTTATATATAACTATATAGATAGATACACTAGTTTACTATACTATAGTTTCACTTCTTAACTACTAAGCGAATGATCATGAGGTATGCTAAAGGATGGAGAACTTTTTATTCAGTAAAAGTATTATACCAATTCCGAGGGATAAACCTGGTTTTGTAATTCGGTTGTTACATTACTGCCTATTTCTGTCGCGTAGTAGCTAGGAAAGACACAACTTAGAGAAATTGGTGGTCACTGGAAAGGTCGAGGGCAAGCGACCAAGAGGCAGGAACCCGACCCGTTGAACTGACCAGATTCGTCCAGCCCTTGATCCACAGTGCACGATGCTCTGCACTCAGCTGCAGATAGGTGCAGTGCAGATGGCGGTGCATTATAAAAAACAAACTGTTTCAAGGCCATGACCACGACCCTCAGTAATGAGGAAACCGACGCAAGGAGGAGGAGCTAAACGTTTCGGCTTGAAGTGTCAACCGTAATTAGAAAAGGCAGTTCAGATTCGACCCACATGTTTTCAGATTAGTGTCAACATTCCCGTTGTAATTGTCTAGTAGTTCCGGGAACCGTTTAACAACAGATGGGTCGTGTGCAATAAAATATGTGATGCTCGTCGAGGTGTGAAACTTTTTTAATATTATTTTTTTGTTCATTTTTACGGGAAGCACCGCGCAACTGGCAGAGTTTTAATGAAAACACGTTTTCGTAAATTCATTTCAACATTTCCATCTAGAAAGGTGCAAAATTTTATATTTTTTCCACACACAGATAGATCATTTATATCACAGATCGCGAGTGGGTAGTTTCAATTATTTTTAATTGCCATTCATTAAGCCTTGTAAACGAATTTTTATTTATTTATTTATTCATTAAGTTGCACCAACAGAGTGATCATCAATACAAAACATTGAATAATTGACAAAAGTTCATGGCAGATGTCACCTCAATTATAAGTGCAATCGACAGTGCATTAACATAAAAAAAAATATACAACTAAGATTTGATTACATTTCATTCATTGCTTAAGGTTAATTTATATTTAATTGGGAGATGATCCGTGACAGATTTTTCCTGTAAGTTGTGAGACAATTAGAAAAAACATCTATTTCACTTAAAATTAGTTCAGCGCAATCGGACAACTCCGAAGGAACATTGACGGAGACCGCGCTACCGCAAAATTTTGAAACAACATAATATCGTCTTCTCGCATTAAAACTGGATAATTTCAAAGCTGAATAATTTTACTTTATTACTATTAATTTTACTTTTAATTAGGAGAGTGTTATAAAGGTTTAACATGTAACATTTTTAATATTAATCATATTTGCAACATTTGTTTTTAATTTTTTACCAGTTACATTATTTGTCTTTTAAAGTGAGATAAAATTATGTATTAATTTTGTTAATAGTAGTCAAAGCATAGGTAAACTAAAAAAAAAACTAAAACTAAACTACGCTGTTTTGACAGTATTTATGGGAAAAATACTGGTGATACCAAATGTTTACGCATATTAACTCAATTTCAAATATTTTTGGTTATTTTTTTTTATTTTTTTCTGGTAGCCTAGAGAGGCTATTCCAGTGGAACCTTAACTAGTAGGTGAGCTCACGGGGCTCAAACCTGACGACATTGCTAACACGAACCCTAGCAAGAGTCGTGCTTCGCAGAATCTACCACCGGATCGGAAACGCGACCCACTGAGAAGATCCGGCGAGAAACTCAGTGGGCTGTGTCTGAGAGTTAATTTACTCGTCGAGCCCTTCGTCGCAAGCGATGCGTTCAACGAGAACGGTGACCGGTGCTTGAAGTACCTAGAAGCACCGTTAGTGGATCGGGAGGATCCGAGATGACGTGAGAGGATCCGAGATGACGTGATAATTTTGGAAATTGTACACTTTTAATGAGAAAAGGCGATATATTTATGTTGGCAAAAACAAAACGGATAAGCACCATTTTATCCAGTTCGTTGTTAATCGATTTTGATTTTTGTTCTATTTAGTAGCCAATGACTAGATTTAGTGTTACCAATATTTTCTTGGAAAAGTCAGTTTTTTTAAACGTGAAATGTTAATAACAAAAGGATAAATTAAATATATAACATGACGTCGACGATGACGTGAATGACTGCCCAAGACTGTTGTAAATGGAAGGATTTGATTCGAGCCCTACAACCGAGCGCAGGGTAATAGGAAAGAAAGAAGAAGAGTATAAAACCTATATCATCAATGCTTTTTCACAAAGTCGTGTTACGACGAGAGTAGCCTTACGTTATTTTAAAATATTCCCAAAAAAAAACAAAAAGCAAAAAAAAAATTAGCTTCCCTATTATTATATATTATTCTCTAGATTTCTTGGAATCTACCACGAACCGATCATGGGTAAATTACTCATTGTTTCTGTTTCACGATCACTGTACGAAGTCGTCGAAGTGATATTAATCGAACAATGAAACGGGAAAATAAAATGAAAGTCCGACAATAATAACGGTGAATATTGCTTTTTTATTGTACTAATTGAAGTTGAACGACCTCGTATTTCGAGATGGGTCCCGGAATCGTTCTTTGTGATGCTAATGAGTTAGTTTTATCTATACTAATATTATAAAGATGAAAGATTTGTTTGTGTGTTTGTATTGAGTAGGCTCCGAAACTACCGAACCGATTTGAAAATTTCTTTCACTGTTTGGAAGCTAAACTATTCCCGAGTGACATAGGCTATAATCTTTTTTGAAAACAATTAGGGATCCTTACTAAAACTCCAATAATGTAATCCAAGGTGTAAAAAATACCTAAAATATTCTTTACATCGCGTGCCCTGTAAAAACTATTGATGGTAGATAAAATAATGTACTACGTCTTTGTAGAGTACATTATTACTTACAAAAAGTGTCGGGACAGCATATTTTTCTAAAACCTTATTCATTATTGGCCTGCCGACTCTTGTAATCAGGTGGACAGTTTGTTTATGACTTTCTTCTTTCTAGATCGGGAATGGTTTTGAAAACCAGGCGAGGCGCGAGTGGAGGGCAGTGAAAATGACGTCGTTTCTGGAAAACATGAACGACACAGTGACTAAGGCTTACGACGAGGGTTTCCCTCTCCTCATGCCGAGATGGGGATACGTGGCTTCCGCTTTTGTGCTCTTCCTAATCGGCTTCTTTGGGTTTTTCCTCAACTTGATGGTCATTCTCCTCATGTTCAAGGATCGACAGGTGAGACTATTTCGTGTAAATTTTCGGGATTTTATTTATTTACTGTGTAGATAAGTGAACCGGCTTACTGCTCATCTACTGCTATAATGTATACTGGTGGTAGGACGTCTTCTGAGTCCGACGGGTAGGTCTCACTACCCTGCCTATTTTTGCCGTGAAGCAGTAATGCGTTTTGGTTTGAAGGGTGGAGCAGCCATTGTACTTTAAAAAAACTGAGATATTAGAACATATATCTCAAGGTGTGTGGCCGCATTTATGTTGCGGATGTCTATGGGCTCCGGTAACCACTTTACACCAGGTAGACCGTGAGCTCGTCTACTTACCTAATAAATAAAAAATATAAATTGTTTTTGTAGCGGTACATTTTACGCCCTAAAATTATAATTGAAAGATTCAAGTGAATGATGCGCTAAAGCAGAGGAGACACAGACGTTTAAACAATTTTACGTGTTCAAATGTACAGCGAATTTCATTTAACATTAATAATGACGTAGCTATTTCTGAGGCTACGTCAACATAATACTGAAATATTAGATTCATCTCCGCTTCAGACAAACGGGGCGGAACTTTATATGAAATATTTAAATGGCTTTTCATGGATCGAGCCGAAGCTATGTGATTAATTTATGCGTATTTCATGATCCCGCATTATAATAATCTGTGCGTATAACAATTGGTTTTTAGCTGCAGACTTATTAAATATTGGTTGCTGATTTTTTTATTTTTTTATTCCTTAGTTAAGTGGAAGAGTGGCCCACCTGGAGCTCATAGACATCTACCTTGAGATATGAGTAATAAGGTCTCAGTTTTTATAGTACAATGGCTACTCCACCCTTCAAACCGAAACGCATTACTGTTNTGTTTGTATTGAGTAGGCTCCGAAACTACCGAACCGATTTGAAAATTTCTTTCACTGTTTGGAAGCTAAACTATTCCCGAGTGACATAGGCTATAATCTTTTTTGAAAACAATTAGGGATCCTTACTAAAACTCCAATAATGTAATCCAAGGTGTAAAAAATACCTAAAATATTCTTTACATCGCGTGCCCTGTAAAAACTATTGATGGTAGATAAAATAATGTACTACGTCTTTGTAGAGTACATTATTACTTACAAAAAGTGTCGGGACAGCATATTTTTCTAAAACCTTATTCATTATTGGCCTGCCGACTCTTGTAATCAGGTGGACAGTTTGTTTATGACTTTCTTCTTTCTAGATCGGGAATGGTTTTGAAAACCAGGCGAGGCGCGAGTGGAGGGCAGTGAAAATGACGTCGTTTCTGGAAAACATGAACGACACAGTGACTAAGGCTTACGACGAGGGTTTCCCTCTCCTCATGCCGAGATGGGGATACGTGGCTTCCGCTTTTGTGCTCTTCCTAATCGGCTTCTTTGGGTTTTTCCTCAACTTGATGGTCATTCTCCTCATGTTCAAGGATCGACAGGTGAGACTATTTCGTGTAAATTTTCGGGATTTTATTTATTTACTGTGTAGATAAGTGAACCGGCTTACTGCTCATCTACTGCTATAATGTATACTGGTGGTAGGACGTCTTCTGAGTCCGACGGGTAGGTCTCACTACCCTGCCTATTTTTGCCGTGAAGCAGTAATGCGTTTTGGTTTGAAGGGTGGAGCAGCCATTGTACTTTAAAAAAACTGAGATATTAGAACATATATCTCAAGGTGTGTGGCCGCATTTATGTTGCGGATGTCTATGGGCTCCGGTAACCACTTTACACCAGGTAGACCGTGAGCTCGTCTACTTACCTAATAAATAAAAAATATAAATTGTTTTTGTAGCGGTACATTTTACGCCCTAAAATTATAATTGAAAGATTCAAGTGAATGATGCGCTAAAGCAGAGGAGACACAGACGTTTAAACAATTTTACGTGTTCAAATGTACAGCGAATTTCATTTAACATTAATAATGACGTAGCTATTTCTGAGGCTACGTCAACATAATACTGAAATATTAGATTCATCTCCGCTTCAGACAAACGGGGCGGAACTTTATATGAAATATTTAAATGGCTTTTCATGGATCGAGCCGAAGCTATGTGATTAATTTATGCGTATTTCATGATCCCGCATTATAATAATCTGTGCGTATAACAATTGGTTTTTAGCTGCAGACTTATTAAATATTGGTTGCTGATTTTTTTATTTTTTTATTCCTTAGTTAAGTGGAAGAGTGGCCCACCTGGAGCTCATAGACATCTACCTTGAGATATGAGTAATAAGGTCTCAGTTTTTATAGTACAATGGCTACTCCACCCTTCAAACCGAAACGCATTACTGTTTCACGTCAGAAATAGGCAGGATTGTGGTACCTACCCGTGCGGACTCACAAAACGTCCTACCACCAGTAATTACGGAAAGTATAATTTTGCGGGTTTGATTTTTATTATACGATGTTATTTCTTTACCGTGGAAGTCAATCGTGAATATTTGTTAAATACGTTTTTCATTAGAAAAATTAGTACCCGCCTGCGGTATTCGAACATCGTTGCATCGCTAGATACGAATGCACCGGACGTCTTATCCTTTAGGCCAAGATAACTTCCTATAAAGTAGAATTTATTTTGTTGCACGCTATAATAAAAAAAAAAAAATGCCAAACTAATATAAACATTAATAACGAGGGTGGTACGTATTGTAAATGGCGATTTTCTTAAGATGGACTAAAATGAAGGTAGAAAACTTTTGGGATAGATTTGATTTGATCAGAATCGAACGCTAAATTTTTTAATAAGATTACAACATAATATGTATTACTAAAATTTTATAACCACAAATACACTTACCTCGCAGTTAACTGATTACCAAATCGTTATCTAACTCATGGATACTGTCGCAGTCTAATAATACATATCAATAGGAATAAGCAGAATGGTATCTAGCAGTGCGGACTCCCAAAAAAAACCAACAATTATAAAAAATAAATATGTATAATAAAAATGCAAGCGACAGATAAATTGCATGAATTAAAAAAAAAAATAGGTATATAAATTTTTATACTCAGCCAACTATAAGAACCGCTTGATAGCTCACCCAAAGCCGTCGTTAGTATACTCTTGCAGCCAAATACTATTAAAATACTTAAGAGAGTCAATGCGCTATTCTATTAAGGGGAGATGGAGTATTGGCTTTGCCTCACCTAACCCTGACCTCTCGCAACTTACCTGATTATAATGATGGCGACTGATCGCAGGAATGAAAGAAAAAAATTTATTAATTTTATGATTCTAATACGGAACTGTAAAAGACGTATATTCAGAGCATTTTACTGCCGACGACCCGCTTTATTGGAAAGATTCAAGGGAAATTGAAAATCGTTGAAATGCAACCGTTGCGATCCGTCGAGATTGTCGCTATCCGATGGAATTTATAGTGAAGTTAGACGAATGATTGGAGTCGAAAAGACACTTACAAAGAACGACGGTGTTAAAAACAATAAAGTCCACGACAACCAATCACTTCATTTAATACGTCAAAGCCCAAATCCATATATATAAATGAATTGCTGTCGCTAAAACTCGAGAACGGCTGGACCGATTTGGCTAATTTTGATCTTGAATTATTTGTGGAATACCAGTTGTTGGCGAGGAAGAGGAGGCAAGCAGTGGTGTACAGACGAAATGAATGTTTTATTTTTCCTTCCAAATTATATTTGAAATAACGGCCGTGACAAAATAACAGGTACATAGGTGTTGTGCGTAAGGTTGCTGCGAGAGAAGTGTCGGTGCGGTTACAGTAGTGCTCGTTGACCGATTTCTTTTTTTTTGGTAGTTTTTGTGCGCATAGACACCAGTTAATAAGTCCAGAGAAGGTTTAAAAGGTAGATAAATATGAAAATACTCGGAATGTTTGTTTGTTTTAAGTTTATTTTATACGAAAGTTCAGGTCTTTTATTTATCGATTGAGGCACTACGAAGTCTGCCGGATCAGCTAGTATTTATAATAAAGCAACAATTTTAATATAACGTATGGTAAAAAANAATTAGTACCCGCCTGCGGTATTCGAACATCGTTGCATCGCTAGATACGAATGCACCGGACGTCTTATCCTTTAGGCCAAGATAACTTCCTATAAAGTAGAATTTATTTTGTTGCACGCTATAATAAAAAAAAAAAAATGCCAAACTAATATAAACATTAATAACGAGGGTGGTACGTATTGTAAATGGCGATTTTCTTGAGATAAACTTAAGATGGACTAAAATGACGGTAGAAAACTTTTGGGATAGATTTGATTTTATCAGAATCGAACGCTAAATTTTTTAATAAGATTACAACATAATATATATTACTAAAATTTTATAACCACAAATACACTTACCTCACAGTTAACTGATTACCAAATCGTTATCTAACTCATGGATACTGTCGCAGTCTCAATTATACATATCAATTAGATTAGTAATAAGCAGAATGGTATCTAGCAGTGCGGACTCCCAAAAAAAACCAATAATTATGAAAATTAAATATGTATAATAAAAATGCAAGCGACAGATAAATTGCATGAATTAAAAAAAAAATTTGGTATATAAATTTTTATACTCAGCCAACTATAAGAACCGCTTGATAGCTCACCCAAAGCCGTTGTTAGTAGTATACTCTTGCAGCCAAATACGATTAAAATACTTATGAGAGTCGATGCACTATTCTATTAAGGGGAGATGGAGTATTGGCTTTGCCTCACCTAACCCTGACCTTTCGCAACTTACCTGATTATAATGATGGCGACTGATCGCAGGAATTAAAGATTTTTTTTTATTAATTTTATGTTTCTAATACGGAACTGTAAAAGACGTATATTCAGAGCATTTTACTTCCGACGACCCGCTTTATTGGAAAGATTCAAGGGAAATTGAAAATCGTTGAAATGCAACCGTTGCGATCCGTCGAGATTGTCGCTATTCGATGGAATTTATAGTGAAGTTAGACGAATGATTGGAGTCGAAAAGACACTTACAAAGAGGAAGAGGAATGCCCACTCTCCATAGTGTGCTAGGCCCAAGATGGACATCAAAACTATAAAAATGGACTGATTCAAATTCTTAAATGTATTGGATATCTAAAAAAATATATTGAAATTGACGCCACTATTATAAAAAATATAATAAAAATAAAATTTCGTTTTGAGGTTTATTTTCTATATAAATAAGTATCGGATTGTGAGATACTTCAAGAACTTTTCTTTTCTTAGTGTTTAAGATGTTCCTAATGTATTTTTATCCAATTGTAGTTATTAGGGTATAAAAAAACAAACATACTTCTTTAAATATCTGTTTTCTTCATCTTCATACACAATTAGTAAATCATCTAAAAATAGCACAGGAGAGCATATACACGGTTTTAAATCTCGGTCAGGTTAAAACCACAATTCACACAATGTTTTTCAGTGGTAGTATGAAACGTTATTGATAAAAGTAAAATAAATCACATCCATTTTGAACGCAAGCACAAGCAGCAAGCGAAGTGTCAGTCAGTCAGATTAAATTCAGTGTTGTCAGTATAAAGAAAAATAATTACATGAAATTCATATCTCGATAATTTTTTTAAATAACCGATAATTGATTTATTTATTAATCTTTTTTTTTACGAGTACACATTATTTTTTATGTTTTTGTTTTAGTTGTACATATTTAAATAACAATACTGGTAAAGTTTTTTTTATTGTTTAGATGGGTGGACGAGTTCACAGCCACCCTGGTGTTAAGTGGTTACTGGAGCCCGCAGACATCTACAACGTAAATGCGCCACCCACCTTGAGATATAAGTTCTAAGGTCTCAAGTATAGTTACAAGTTAAAGTCCAATGGCTATGTCTTTGATGTTTATTTATGAGCTTATAATCGATTAAATTCGACTGATTAATGATAATACTTAAAATGTTTACTTAATACGTAAAAGGTTTTGATGCTGGCAATATTTTGCCGGCAAAAATAAAAAACCTTGGTTTTTCAATAGAGTTACTTTTTTAAAACTACTTATTGTAAACTTTAGTGGCGCTTATTTGGAAGAAAGTAAGAAAGTAAAGTAAGTTATTTATGACAAAATTAATGCACTAAGTACGTATTGTTTCTCTAATCTATTGTCCGCTTTGGGCCTGAAATGGGCATTCCCCTTTGAACGACGGCGTTAAAAACAATAAAGCCCACGACAACTAATCACTTCATTTAATACGTCAAAACCCAAATGAATAATAAAGCAAAAATGTTAATATCACGTATGGTAAAGAAATATTAAGTACACAGCAGACATGTCAAAGAAGTTGATGACGCTTATCTTAACACGAAGTTGAATTTATATTAGATGATTGATTCACCTCAGGGTGAAATATAAATTCAAACTTTTAGTTTAAAAGTCAAATTTATTCATGATAGGGCCAAAACTCTGAAATATTCGATATGTGCAAATTTCTAAAGCGAAAATAATAGTAGGGTAGGGTAGTAGTAATAAAATTCTTTAATATGTAGATAACATTTATGAATATACAAAAAAAAACGAGATTTTTTAATAACAATTTTTCATAATTATCTATATTTTTACATCCGACAACGTGTACTTTTTAAAGTTAGATTTATTAAGTTTTTTTAATCGCATCGTCCAGGCTTGGCACAAATAATAAGTCGGTCTTGTGGAAGTGATTTTATATAATTTTAATCCGAGATTATTAATTAGATTAATTGAAACTTTATAAAAAAGCTGCAAAAGCCGTAAATTTTTTTAAGACCTTTAGGTCATGTCTTATTTTAATTTATATTCTTATTTTTATGAAAGATGATTATATGGAGTGAAATGAAATGAAGATTATTAATTTAAGACGTTAATCAACTGGGATGAAATTAAATGAAATGATTGATATGATAGGTATGGGATGAAATATAATCTCAGTAAAATGGTGGTCATTTACCGAGATTTTTTTAGTGGACTTTTTGGAGGATCCTGAGAAGTTACGTCCAGCGGTTTTATTTCATTTTCCCACATTTATTTCATTTTCACAGATATTAAACAGTTAATAAACCACCGTTCTTACACATTTAAACCTGAAGAAACACTAAATAGACAAATTTTCAAACAAATCACACAACTTAACTCCTCGCGTTCCCGCCAAAAAGTCCAAAAATTATTAAAAAAGGTGCCAAAGTTATAGATTATACATTTAATATATGCCAAAGTCGTGATTGAATGCAAAGATGCACAGATAATATAAAAATGAGGATATGCGTTTCGTTTCACGCAGTGAAGATCTTGAGCACGCATTATTTCTAAATTTTTACTGTTTAGATTCGAAATTGGTGAAAGGAACAGCGCCATAAAAACACGAAGCGCTGTTATTGCCACGGAACATCGAGACTCCCCCGGGTTTTTCATTTTATGTCTTCGAAGCTCGATTTCCGGGCATGTTATATTTTAATATTCTGTGAAAGATTTGTTTTTTTTTTTGTTATGGATACTGACAAAACAAAAAACTAAGAGGGGTGAGAATGATGTTGGGTCTTTTTTTTAATTTTTTTTTTATGTTTACTTATTGCTATAGCTTACTTAGACTTACTTGTCATAGATAGACTGAATAGGATATTCGTGTTTCCGATAGCACCAAGATTGTTCCACTTTATTTTGCGTATTTGGTGTGTAAGTCGACACTCAATAAATGAGTTTAATAGAAGGAAAACAAAAAAAAAAAGCAAAAAAAGCAAAAGGATATTTCCGTTTTTGTTACAAACACAACTTGTACAGTCGTTTAGATATTATCGTTGTCTGAAGCAGAAGACGTTTGATGTACTCGTATATCGATCGGGCAACGTGACTATGGCGATACTCTATTTTCGAAGACAAGTTTTATTAATAAAATACGTACTTAACACACGTTCACGAATGTCTTCTACGTTGTAGGACATGATACATACATTATACAAAAATATAAAAAAAAACAACTCCCGAAAAAATATTCTCTAAAAATAGTCTTGTGAGTTCGCACGGGTAGCCACCACCACTTTGCCTAGTTCTGCCGCAAAGGAGTAATACGTTTACAATACACTAAAGCTACTTTCAGACTACGCATATGATATAATAGCATATAGTATATAGCTCATAGCACAACAATATCGCGCGCCATACATTGTTATGGACACGTTCACACTGTACTGTGTACTATATATTATTGACTACTAGCGACCCGCCCTCGCTTCGCTTCGGAAACTGTAATTTATTATTGATTTCTTCACTATTTAATGGATGTTATTATACGCATAAGCCTTCCTTCTCAATCACTCTATCTATTAAAAAGACCGCATCAAAATCCGTTGCGTAGTTTTAAAGATTTAAGCATACATAGGGATATAGGGACAGAGAAAGCGACTTTGTTTTATACTATGTAGTGAAGTATACACTGCTATACTATATGGCACTATAGTATAGCGTAGTCTGAACGCAGCTTAACTATCACAAACGCTGTTATACTGCACAATTAAGACTTAGACCTCATGTCTCAAGATGGATGACGGCGTTCATGTGGTCATATCTCCGATAACCACTTATAACCGGGTGGTAGCTCGTTGATCCATCTTAGCGATAATTTGTTATCTATTAACTTTTTAAAGCTTATTGCCAAAATTTTGACGCCAGTAGTCTGTGGACCACATATACGCGGAGAGCTTACAATGCCCTACGTGTTCAATATAATAATGCGCTATATAATAATAAAATAACGGTAGGCAGAGGCTTGGCTCTGTCCCTGGCATTGCTGAAGTCCATGGGCGACGGTAACCACTCACCATCAGGTGGGCCGTATGCTCGTCTGCCTACAAGGGCAATAAAAAATTAAATAAAATAAATATAATAATGCGTTTAGCATGATGTTGTCACTGCCGCGCTTTTGTGGTGCATCCACAATGTTTGCGACATCTCACACCGATGACTTCTTTGCAATAATGCGTAAGAGAAGTGCATCGTTATTGCGTTGAGTGCGTGACAGTGGCAACATTCTTCTGAACATCATATCGAGCAAGATCGAGGGACTCCTGATTAATAGCCTTTGCAGCAGGCACTTGGAAGGAAAAAAATTGTAACGCAATGTAATGTAAAAATGTAATGTATGCCTGATAGTAATTCTTACTAATAAAATGTAATGGTTTTTTTTTAAAACTGAAATAGAGTATAATTAAATAAATAAAATAAAAATTAACAAAAATATACCCAGTAATCTATCTCTAAATAGTGCATAGAAGGTAGGCAAAATAGATGTAATTCAAAATTTTACGTACATACTTTTTATCTTAATTATAAAAGAGGAAAACGACTTAGTAAATACTGTTCTAAAGGTTTTTCGTAATTACTTATTTATTGTAAGATATTCATTGAGCAGGCTCTGAATCTACACGGGCTGTAACACTCCACCTTCTGTTTATTTTCCTTCGAAAGTACTCATGTTTGGATGTTGAGAAAGTCTTTATTTCAATGTTATTTCCATCAATGTTATTTCTGTAAACAAAAACAGCCACTATAATTCAATTGTTTTCTTCAGTTAGGCGACGATATTTACACCGGAAAAAATACTATGAAAATCCACCTACTTTAATGGCTCTAGCTCTCGCTCCTGGCCTTTTCATTTTTCATTATTATTATTATTTTTTTAATTGTATTTTTTGACTTGTTTTTTCTTTTATTGTAAATATTTTTATTTATTTTTAAAAAAGAAAATATTTGAGAAAAAACAAAAAAAAAAGCCCGCTGAGTTTGTTTCGCCGGTTCTCAGGACTGTGGCTTTTTTTGGAACCGGTGGTAGAGTTAACATTGTTATTTGTATTTTGACATTCAACAAGTGTATCATACTGACGTCTAAGTTGAAATAAATGATTTTGAATTTGAATTTATAGAAACCGTTAACTAAATAGCGCTGTTGACTTTGAGATATGGGATTAATCGCTGTGAGCTTATTCAAAATGCACAGTTGTTTGGAAAACGTGAAAGCTTGTAAAATTGGTAACATTCTTAAAACATACTTTGTAACATAACAGTTCATAGCAATTTAATCTGTATTTGTGATATTTATAAAGCTTATTTTTCTAGCTCTGGACACCGCTGAACATAATACTCTTCAACCTCGTCTGCTCGGACTTCTCCGTGTCCGTTCTCGGGAATCCATTCACTTTGATCTCGGCTCTGTTCCATCGTTGGATCTTCGGGCACACAATGTGCGTTCTGTATGGATTCTTCATGGCATTACTTGGTGAGCACAGTATTTTAATTTCTTATCTACATAACTATTATTACTAGTGGTCTCGCAGTAGTCGAAATTCGACTATAATTAATTGAAATTAAAAGTTTGTACACTATTATTATTCTATTTTCAAAGACGATTATACTTCTATAATCACAAATTTCGCCAAGACTACACTATAGAAAAATATTAATAAAGCCAAACAATATTTAATCTATTCTCAATTTGACCACAGACGTCAAGAACAAAAGTTTGACAGTAAATATATAAATAGTATGCATGCGTGTGTGCGTCAAATACATGGTAGTGTGTGTAATATTTTTTTATTGATTTCATGAATATTTTAGGCATAATATAAAAATATAAGTGGGGGAAACTTCATACTCCTCGGTCCGTGCAATTTTCGTAAAAAGGGATACAAAGTTTTTCCTTAACGTATTAATATATAGTTAACGGAATTCATTGGAAAAGTGAGTCTTAATTACTGTCACTATGGAAGGCAATGGCAATGATGACGGGAATGGCGTCAGCAACGCTGACGTCACCATTTTATAAATACCATGGAACCAGCCACGCTCTGTCATCTATATATTAATACGTGAAGCAAAAACTTTGTATCCCATTTTACGAAAATTGCGCGGACGGAGGAGTATGAAATTTTCCACACTTATAGAGAATATAGAGACGAAGTGCACAATGCTAATATTTTTTTAAAATAATGCATAAAAGATACATTAAATCAATAAAGAAAACATTACACTCACTACATACCATGTTTTTGACGCACACACGCATGCATACAATTTATTGTCATACTTTTGTTCTTGACGTCTGTTGTCAAATTGAGATTAAATATTGTTTGTCTTTGTTAATATTTTTTATAGTGTAGCCTTGGCGAAATTTGTGATTATAGAAGTATAAAATACAATCATAATAGTGTACAAACTTACAATTCCAGTTAATTATAGTCGAATTTCGACTACTGCGGGACCACTAGTATACATTAAATGACGAATGAAATGATTCATATACATTTTGTGTGTTGGTGTATGTTTTATCTTCACTCTTTTTGGAACCAATTCGGTTAAATGTTTCTCGCTTTTAGCTCTGCTCGTGATATGAGATATTCCCGTGATGTTATCTTTTCAAATTATACTTGGTACTATTTAAAAAAAAACAAAAGAATATTCCAATGTGATTAATTCCCCCTCCAGGCTCTTTAAACAAGCGTAGCATGTGACTCCCACGAAACTCAACAGATATCCGAACAGCAATAAAGTTTTGAGCAGAGTTGCAAAATAAACTGTTTGCATTTCAATTAAGGATGATGACTTCCGAAATACGCTTCCAGATTCGTAAAATACAAAGACGNCTATTTAAAAAAAAACAAAAGAATATTCCAATGTGATTAATTCCCCCTCCAGGCTCTTTAAACAAGCGTAGCATGTGACTCCCACGAAACTCAACAGATATCCGAACAGCAATAAAGTTTTGAGCAGAGTTGCAAAATAAACTGTTTGCATTTCAATTAAGGATGATGACTTCCGAAATACGCTTCCAGATTCGTAAAATACAAAGACGGAGACCGGTTCAAATTATATTGTTATTCAGTTTCGCAAGTCTTCGAGTAATTAATGAATGAGATGAAATATCTTAGGCGTAGACGCGATGACTGATATGAATTGAAGCACTAATGAAGAAAGCTCGTTGATGTTAAAAAATAATTAATTACCATTGATTCAATAATATTACTGTATTCTATTATTAGCGACCCGCCCTCGCTTCGCTTCGGAAACTGTAATTTATTATTGATTTCTCCACTATTTAATGGATGTTATTATACATATAAACCTTCCTCTTCAATCACTCTATCTATTAAAAAAACCGCATCAAAATCCGTTGTGTAGTTTTAAAGATTTAAGCATACATAGGGATATAGGGAGAGAGAAAGCGACTTTGTTTTATACTATGTAGTGATAAGCCAATATTGTGCAAAGCTTCTCGTCCCAAATACCGCAGTGCTTAAGACAGAAGGCTTTGACCAGTGTAAGTTGTCGGTAATGGCGTACGGCGTTTTACTGGTAGTAGGTTTGTGAGTCCGCACGGGTAGATACCACCACCACCCCGCCTATTTCTGCCGTGAAGCAGTAATCCGTTTCAGTTTGAAGGGTGGGGCAGCCGTTGTAACTATACTGAGACCTTAGATCTTATATCTCAAGGTGGCTGGCGCATTTACCTTAAAGATGTCTATGGGCTCCAGTAACCACTTAACACCAGGTGGGCTGTAAGCTCGTCCACACATCTAAGCAATTAAAAAAAACACGAGGCTGCGGATAATGGGTTTCATGAGAATGCTCAATGTCACTTAAAGACCATTGGAAATTCAATCAGTAATGAGGAGATTCGCAAAATGACCAGGTGACTGACATTAGCTATCTTAGGGAGTCGAAATCTTCGCTCCGCGTAACACGTCATTTTAGAAGTATCGCTCCGATGAAACAAGCCAAACCCTAATGCCATAAGATCTATTCCCGACTCTTTTGTTGTTTCGTCAAAATTAAATGTAAAATGTTTATGTAGTAAACATGAATAGGAATCAATAGACCATCTTTGTCTGTGTCACTTCCGTTCTCTACAAAGGCTATATATGTTTAGGTGTCTATGGGCTACGGTAACCAGGAACCATTGATCTTGAGCTTATTTTTTTTTATTATTGCTTAGATGAGTGCACGTGCTCACGGCCCACCTGGTGTTAAGAGGTTACCCGAACCCATAGGCATGTACAACTTAAAGCCCGAAGGATTGCAAGATTGAAGTGGCAGTGGGCACATTGCATGTAGAATACACAGCTGCTGGTGGTGAATTTTCTCCAGTAGCGATTACATTTCGAAAAGCGCAGGGTGGGTAGGTCTCCTACGAGGTGTACTAACGACCTGCTAAAAGTCGCAGGAATGAGCTGGACACAGGTTGCTGAACACTGGTTATTGTGGCGAGCCTTCGGTAGCATATGTCCAGTAGTGGACATCTGTGGGCCGTTAAACAAATATTTCAAGTCAAAGATTTTGTACTGGAACCTACATACACGGAGCTTCAATAAAAATCTGTAGACAAAATAAAATACAGAAATTTTTAACAAACACACCATACCGGTTCAAAAACATATGTACATATTTTTGCGTATTAATGCCTCGGTGGCATGTTGAAATATCGGTATGGCTGCCGATTACAACCTGAATAGTTCTAACGTGCGTCGGTATCCGTGATAAGAGTGGGAAATGTTCCGATTGTTGAAATCCGTTGAACAAAAATTTTTTTTTAAGATTTTAAATGTATGTATTATTGGGAGACGTGTTGTTGTTCGCCATCGAGTTAATATATAAAACAAAATTAATTTCTCTTTTTTTGATTTTCATTGAATTCATGTTTTAAAACGAATTAAAGCATATCCTTTGAATTCGTCGTGGCCTAAGGGATAGGACGTCCGGTGCATTCGTGTTGAGCGATGCACCCGGTGTTCGAATCTCAGGCGGGTACCAATTTTTCTAATGAAACACGTACTCGACAAACGTTCACGATTGATTTTCACGGTGAAGGAATAACATCGTGTAATAAAAATCAAATCCGCAAAAAATATAACTTGCGTAATTACTGGTGGTAGGACCTCTTGTGAGTCCACGCGGGTGGGTACCACCACCCTGCCTATTTCTGCCGTGAAGCAGTAATGCGTTTCGGTTTGAAGGGTGGGGCAGCCGTTGTAACTTACTTGAGACCTTAGAACTTATATCTCAAGGTGAGTGGCGCATTTACGTTGTGGATGTCTATGGGCTACAATAACCACTTAGCACCAGGTGGGCTGTGAGCTCGTCCACCCATCTAAGCAATAAAAAAAAAACTTATTTTCGTGTAATTTAAATTCATTTGCAAATTACAATCATCAATCAGATAATCAAACACCATACAAGCGAACAGACATAAGCGTGCTAATAGTTTAACAGTAGGCAGCGGCTTGGCTCTGCCACTGGCATTGTTGAAGTCCATGGGCGACGGTAACCACTCACCATCAGATGGGCCGTATAATAATAAAAATCCACTAGTATATTGAAGGGGGTGCAATAATACTTCTATAAATCGCTTTCGTAACAGACCTCCGAAGATAGAATGTCTCTGTTCCAATCAAAGTGATCACGGCTGGTGTTAATTAGTTACCGGAGCGATAGAAATCAACAACGTAAATGCCACCACCCAACTTGAGACATGAGTTCTATAATAAATCTTAGTTTTTTATAGTACAACGGCTGCCCCAAAGTTCGTACCTAAAGAAATTATTACTTTGCCGCAGTAATGGGAAGAGTCTACCCTTGTGGACTCACAAGATGCGCTACCACCAGTAAAATCGCTAATTTTAATTTTCGAGGCATGGATTTTTATTACATGATGTTATTCCTTCACCATGGAAGTCATTGCGGATCTGTCTAAATAGAAATATCCGGTATCCCATTTCGCAAGGTCTCCTTTGAAAGTTGAGATCTCTTCACATCTGCTAGGGTTTTAAAATAAGTATTATTCACTTAGTCTACGAGCAAAGGGATAATCGCAGAATAGCCTCGAAGATCCTGATACCGACGGACGGATCGGCCAGTCTATCGAAATCAGCTTAATTTTAAATTATTTCTCGGACTTGCTAACAATAATAGATGAATTTATGAAATAATGAAATACACGACGCAATAATATTTAGACATAGAATAATAATAAAGGTTATTTCAAGTTATGATTCATCATTAAATCGTATAAACCTTTTCTTAATTAAAAGTAAATAAGAGCTTTTCGTTTTAGTTATGTTTTTATAGCAATTAGTTTTTAATTAAGGTACGTCTACTATAATTATGATATTGCGTAATGCTCAAATAACGTGTTTTTCTTAATGAACAAAAGTAACTTCTATCGCTATAGGTACACGCAAGCCTATCCGGTATTTAGCGGATATCCGACACGATAGATATCATGAAAATAAAAACACTGTATATTTTAAGAAATTACGTCGAAGTTTCAGTAGCATTTCAAAAATTATATACCAGAAAGTCCCCGAAAAAAAAACATCAACCCGATTTTAACAGTAGGAGGTACCGGGTCCAAATCATAGGGCTCACCGAAAAATGGACAAATCTTTCTCTGTGTATACTCTTACTGTGTATACTTATTCTGTTCAGAGTAGGTACTGCGATTGTCAACTGGTATATATTGAGCTAATGGCGTACAATTAACCCGTATGAGTAAGTAGTCATTCTGTCTAGATCTGCAGCGCTCGTCAGATTCAGCTTAAAGTTTGTATTATATAAGCTGAGACTTGGATTTTTTTATGAATGTGGGATTATTTGTGGCCCGGAGGCTTTTCCAGTTTCATCAGGATAGGTGGGCGAGCAAAGGCTCAGCCAGGAGGGGTGGAATTTATTACCAGTTGTCCGAGCGCCTCCAAAGGAGACTTAACAGCTCAAGAGCAGCTACTTCGCAAGTGAATCTACTACGGAATGGAATCGGAATGTCTTAAGTGGTGGGGTATTTACAATGTGGTAACTATAGTCTATGGTTACCACATACAGCCGAGTCGGAGTCAACCATTATGTAGTGTCAATAGTGATTTCGAAAATAAAACTGAAAATTTCAAAATACGTATACCTATTCCCGAAGGTTCTAGAATGCGGCGATCGACTTCTAAACTCGGAACCGTTAATACTACTAATATTTTATGCATTAAAAAAATTAAGATTTTGTAACGTGCGGAACCGAAGTAAAATAATTCATCCTCGCACGCTAAGCGGAACCATAAAGTATCGAACAACGCCGTGCGACTGACGCCTGCGCAGGATTCGTAAAAAGACAGAGAGGTTCGAAAAATTTAATAACGCGCACGCGACGGTCGCTGCACAAAATTATTAATTTTTTTAATTTCAAATAATCTTACTTTGTTGTACCTATAAGAGTTGTAACGGTAAAATATATTATTTACATTAAAATTTAAATTTTTAATAAATTTAATCATTGAATCGCGCTAAAATGAGAGTAAGTAATCACGAAACTTTTCTAACGTAAATTAAATGAATAATAGGGCTTACTTATCGGCTATAAATATTTTAGGCTTACGGAGAAAGGAAACAGTTCTCGTAGGAACGTCTGAAGTTTAATATAATAATATCCGACAGGGATTTTTATCTATAAATATCAATAGATCAGAAAATCGAATTTTTCAACCGCATACAAAATACCTATCTATATATATCTTCGATCAACAATTTTAACTATTGTTGATCGAAGATATATATATATAAATTAATTGCTGTTCGTTAGTCTCGCTAAAACTCATCAACGGCTGGACCGATTTGGCTAATTTTGGTCTTGAATTGTTGGTGGAAGTCCAGAGAAGGTTTAAAAGGTAGATATATAAAAAGGGCTCGGAATTAAATAAAAATAACAATTTTGTTTTTCCTTTGATGTGTCCCCCGTCGGACGGATTCCTTTTGTTTCTTTTAAGTATATTTTATACAAAAGCTTAAGTATTTTATTTATCGATTGAGGCACTACGAAGTTTGCCGGGTCAGCAAGTAATTAATAAATATAAATGATAATAAACCAATGTGATGAAAAATACACGACATTTTGTATATATATTTTCAAATTTCGCCGTAATTTTCCCCAGAAAAAAGGTTTGACACGGTTTTGACTCAAACCGCTACGAAGGAAATTTTACTTAAAAAAACTACATAAGAAAACACCAATCATATCGTACTTTTCGGAATCCCTTTGAACTTAAGAACAGCTTTCGTTCTCAACGCGATGTATATTGTAAATGAAATGTGTCGTGGCGTATTTTATTCTTTGTTGTTTTGGCTTGTTTCACATAAGTGAAGTTCCTCGAATGAAATCAAACAGGAATATCATGATGTCTTGCCTTGTTTGTAAGATCAGAACCATTTATAGCATCTCAGATGTCATATTACGTACATGCGTAAGTGAAATGTACTAGCCGTTCTGCCGTCCTAAGCAGAACTGGCGAAACAATCTTAGCTTATCTTTTGTAAGTAATTTTATGATATAAATTTTCGAATCGTTCGAATCCCGCTGGCAAAAATTGGTACCCAATTTTTCTAATGAAACACGTGCTTAACAAATCTTCACGATTGACTTCCACGGTGAAGGAATAACATCGTGTAATATAAAAATCAAACCCACAAAATTCTAATTTGCGTAATTACTGGTGGTAGGACCTCTTGTGAGCCCGCACGGGTAGGTACCATCGCCCTGCCTATTTCTGCTGTGATGCGTTTCGGTTTGAAGGGTGGGGCAGTCGTTGTAACTATACTGAGACATTAGAACTTATATTTTAAGGTGGGTGGCGCATTTACGTTGTAGATGTCTATGGGTTCCAGTAACCACTTAACACCAGGTGGGCTGTGAGCTTGGCCACAAATCTAGGCAATAAAAAAAACCCGGAAAATACTATTTGAAAAATATTCATAAACAAAACCGTTTGTATATTGCGTTGAAGATGGTAAAAAAGTCTAATATGATGATAACACAGAAAACGCTACTGTAATGATTATAAATTATTAGTTTTAATAAAACAATCGAAATAAGTCAAAGACTTTTCTAATATCATCGTTGCTATGCTTTAATATTAATGAACATAGCCTCGACTCTAAGAATACAAGACAACAAGAAGTTTCATTCTCGAGTTTCGGAAATGAATTAGTTTCGGGAATCAGAAAGGAAATACGCAGTCATCCAAAGTATGTCTAAGTCAGTGTGAGAAGCACTGGTGTGAAATAATAAACTTATCCGTACTTTAGTGTTAGTTCAAAATTAATTAACACGCGACTTAAGTCTGTATTTAGTCTAAACTAGTGGCCACGCAGTAGTCAAAATTCGACTATAATTAATTGAAATTGTAAATTTCAACATTATTATGGTTCTATTGTCAAACATTATTATAATTCGATAATATAATCACAGTATTCGCCAAAACTGCACTATAGATCAATAATACTAATTGATTATAAATTAGACAAACAATATTAATCTATTCTCAATTCGACCATAGACTTTAAACAGTAACAAAAGCTTCCCAAATTGACAGTAAACAAAGAGTATATTTTTATGTATTTGTTGTGTTAAATACATGGTAGTGTGTGTAATGCTTTTTTTATTGATTAANAATCACAGTATTCGCCAAAACTGCACTATAGATCAATAATACTAATTGATTATAAATTAGACAAACAATATTAATCTATTCTCAATTCGACCATAGACTTTAAACAGTAACAAAAGCTTCCCAAATTGACAGTAAACAAAGAGTATATTTTTATGTATTTGTTGTGTTAAATACATGGTAGTGTGTGTAATGCTTTTTTTATTGATTTAATGTGTTTTTATGCATAAAAAAAAATTAGCAATCTGCACTTCTTCTCTATATTCTCTATAAGTATAGGAAATTTCATACTACTCGGTCCGGGCAATTTTCTCAAAAGTTTTTGCTTCACGTATTAATATATAGATAACACATTAATTATTTCACTAAGGGTTAAAAGTGAAACGCTTTTCGAGTCTATGTACCTACATTGATATATTCCATGACCTAGGCTTAATGGAGGTCAAAGGTAAAGGCAAGATTAAAAAAAGTTATCGATTATTTTAATATTTTACTAGCTTTAAACTTAATCTATTTAAACCATCCAACCATGATTGAGAAATCATTGAAAATTAATTTAGAATTTTTATCAAAAAAGATGCGACACCTATTTTAGGACGAGTTCATTAGCTTGGTATTTATCTATGTAACGGAATCTTTGGAGGTGATTTTCATACACTATAAAAGCTCGAATTGAATTAAAACTTCACAAATTTATCGAGAACCGATGGTAATATAATAATTTAATAAAATTGTCAGAATGCCCTGATGAGGATCTTCCGAACGAACCACGGTGCGGACGGTTAAATCAGGATAGTGTCTTATGTCACGTATGCAAGCGTACGCGGAAGCTTTCTCCCTTGGCCTTGATAGTCGTTTTTCTGACTCCTTCTCCGAAATCGAATCCTTATTTCCCGTTAAAACCACCGTAGTCCCAGAACCTGTCATTGGATTCAATGATTTGATTGCTCAAAGTTGACAGAGAGAGTTCTATGTAATTAATAGTCATACATTGAAGGAGCTGTTTAGAATCCGAAATAAATCACAGAACGATCTAATAACCTGATTAACTACAAAACCTATTCATTCTTCTTTACCATGACACTATCATAATTACAGAATAAAAAATAAGTATCAGTTTAAAAACACGCTTTTGTAGCTAGCTGAACTAAACAGCAAAACATCTTCTATAAGTTTAAGATTAATAAAAAAAATTGTAATATGCCTTTAATTTTAAATTTCCTATGTAAATAAACTAATGAACAAATCTATTTTAAGTAGTATTTCAAGGATTTTGTTCTATGTTAATTCGCATTGAGAATTCAGATTTTTTACTTCAACTTACATATTTACTTCAAAACTATGAAATAGTCATTTTTTTTAATTACTTTCTACAGCTTAGTCTCGATCATGGACGAATGTTTCATCTAGTTTATAGTAAGTTCCGATTTCCAGTGCATTAAAAAGTATATCAACAGTTTATTTACTTACAGGTATAACTTCAATTACAACGTTAACGGTCATATCTTTTGAGCGATACCTGATGGTAACCAGGCCGTTGACATCTCGCCACCTAAGTTCGAAAGGAGCGGTTCTGTCCATCATGTTTATCTGGACGTACTCGTTGGCCCTGACCACGCCGCCGCTGTTGGGATGGGGAAACTATGTCAACGAGGCCGCCAATATTAGGTAAGTCTGTACAAAAATAGTGACATCGAGCGGGAACTCGATTTTACTGGTGGTAGGACCTCTTGTGAGTCCGCGCGGGTAGGTACCACCACTCTGCCTATTTCTGCCGTGAAGCAGTTATGCGTTTCGGTTTGAAGGGTGGGGCAGCCGTTGTAACTATACCGAGATTTTAGAACTGATATCTCAAGGTGGTTGGCGCATTTTCGTCGGAGATGTCTATGGGCTCTAGTAATCACTTAACACCAGGTGGGCTGTGAGCCCGTCCACCCACCTAAGGAATAAAAAAAAAAAACGAAGCTGGGATCCCAGTAATACTGACATGAGGTGATGATCACAAACGAAGTGATTGTTTTTATATATATCATCAAATTAATTTACATCAGAATGCTTAAGGAATTTATATTTTATACTATAGCATTGCCGTAATGTGTAATCTATTGGGTTAAGGTTAAAAAAGACGAAAGAAAATATTTTCATGCTAAATGATGTAGGTATGTTTACACAAATGTATTTTTGCTGTACTTTTTACAACTCATGTCTCAAGGGTGCATTTACTTTGTTGATGTCTATGGGCCTCCTTACCACTCAACACCAGGTGGACCGTGAGCTCATTCACCCAACTAAAACACGTCATTTCGGATCCTCCCGATCCACTAACGGCGCTGTTAGGTACCTCAAGCAACGGTCATCGTTCTCGTCGAACCCGTCGCTTGCAACGAAGGGCTCGACGAGTAAATTAGCCCTCAGACACACCCCACTGAGTTTGTCGCCGGATCTTCTCAGTGGGTCACGTTTCCGATCCGGTGGTAGATTCCGCGAAGCACGGCTCTTGCTAGGGTTCGTGTTGGCAACGTCGTCAGGTTTGAGCCCTGTGAGCTCACCTACTAGTTAAGGTTACGCTGAAATAGCCTCTCAAGACTCTCAGCTTAGGTAGGAAAAAAAAACAACTAAATAATAAATAAAAATAGAAAAAAGTTTTTGTATATTGGCTTTTGGCGTTAGGTATATAAAGATTTCTTGCTGCAGTTGCTCCGTGAATTGGCACGAGCAGTCCACGAACACTTTGACGTACATCATGTTCCTGTTCGCGATGGGACAGATCCTGCCGCTGTCTGTGATCACCTTCAGCTACGTCAACATCATCAGGACCTTGAAACGAGTAAGCTCCAATTCGTTTATTATTTACATAAAGTATTAACGCTTCAGTAGTGTGACCCTGTGACTTCTAAATAGAAGAGGTAGATGTTTCGAAATGTTTTTTTGCTTATTTCAAATTAGTTATTAAATTATGTAACGACATATATTTAACACATTTAATTATTTTTATTTCATATTTTGAATGTATACGTCGGTTTAACGTAAAGTGTTAAAAGTGGTTTAATATATATTTCTTTATCCTTCTCTCTCCCCCTCCCTTTTTCCACTTTTTTTATTGTTTAGATGAGTGGCAGATCTCACAGCACACCTGGTGTTAAGTGGGTACTGGAGCCCATAGACATCTACAACGTTAATGCGCCACCCACCTTGAGATAAGAGCTCTAAGGTCTCAGTATAATTACAACGGCTGCCCTACCCTTCAAACCGAAACGCATTACTGCTTCACGGCGAAAATAGGCAGGGTGGTGGTACCTACCCGCGCGGACTCACAAGAGGTCCTATCAACCTTCTAATGTTCCTTTCCCCGTCTGACCCTCTCCTCTCTCTCGCTCTATATTTGCATTCTAAGTGTCATGTAATCACAGGTCATTTTTATTATTATGATTTCTAACACACAATACATTGCTTTTGATAGTAAGGATGTGACAATTTCTTTTTAGTATCTCTAATATCAAGGCAAACCATTACTAAGATCCAAAAAATAATGCTAAAAAGCATGAGCACCTAAATATGCCGCTTATTTCTTTCGATCTAGTATTCCACTTTATCGCGACTGAATTATAAAGTGTATATATTGCTTGGAAATAATATTCTTTTTTGGCATTTTAAAATTTTTGTCTGTACATTATTATCATCAGCCTATAGCAGTCCACTGCTGGGCATTTACTGGGCATAGGTCTCTAAATTTTCACGCCACTGAGCAAGATCTTCGGCTTCTCTCATCCAGCTTTTGCCAGCTATCCTGCATAGAGCGTCACACCACTGACCCTGAGGGCTGTTACTTGTCCCCTATTAGTAAGCACCTAAAAGGGGCCATTGTGTAGATTGGTATGCATGGTGCTCTTGAGTTGTTAGGTCTGCTTTGGAGGCGCTTGGGTAGCTGTTAGCAAATGCCATCACTCCTGACTGCGACTTTGCTCGCCCACTTGTTCTGGTGAAACTGGAAAGGCCTTCGAGCCAGCAGTAATTCTTTCTTCATAAAAAATATGGTATGCACAAACGCTCACGTGTACAGATAAATATGTGTTCACATTTTAAATTTTCCAGTTCAAACATCTAACGATTTGAGGTCGACTTACATTTTTTTAAAGCAAAGCTACGTTTGGTACGTTAATAATTCACGAACAAACACAGACTGAATTAAACTTCCATCGCGACAAAAACGTGACATGCAAAACAAAATGTTTGTTGTACCTAAATATTGTACTCTCAAAATTATTTGAATTTAAATTTGTTCATTCCGAGAACTAAATTCTATGCAGAGTTAGGTAATTATGGATTCTTATTCGAAGTTAATACTATTAAGTAGTAAGTTAATTGGCTTACTAAATTTTTCATAAGAACTGTAAGAATAAATCTGTAGTTTCTTCTTGATTAGCTTACGCAGAGACTAATTCAATAAAAATTTACGTCGTCTCTAGAGATTGGCGACGACATTTACTTCAAATTATCAATGGATTTATGTATTGTTCAACATTATGTATGTGTGTCTTGAGCCAAAGTAGCCTATCTAGTATCTGCCTGCATGATGAAGCTTAGGGCCCGTGCACACCACGCTTTTTATCCTACAGAGCGGTTTGTTGTCGTCTGTATCGATACAAACGCGATGCTAACGCGCAAGTGTATCGATACAAACGCGCGTGAGCGTCGCGTCTGTATGGCCACAAACGCGCGTCGACGGCGCGTTTTTATCCCACAGAATGGTTTCTTGTCGTTGGTATCGATACAAACGTGATGCTACCGTGCGATTGTATCGATTCAAACGCGTATTTGAATTAATACAGGTGTGCAAAGGTCTACAGGCTGCGTCTGACTTGCGTGCGTATCGCGTCTGTATCGCTACGAACGCGCGTCGACGGCGCGTTTAAAAAACGTGGTGTGCACAGGAACTCAGTGTTTGCCCAGATATCAGTAACTTAGCCTTTCTAACGCCTAAATGTCACAGCGGCGTTGGCTTCTACAAAAAAAGCCCTAGAAAAATTTATGATATACGTATATTGAATTTAATCAATCGGCATAATTCATCTTAGATCAGCTATTCTCAAAGTATATCCATTGATATAAGACGATAATAGCTTGACAAAAGTAAAGTGATTAAGGAAAAAAAAACAGGTTTCACAATAATTTAAGACTTATTTTAAAATTATAATAAACCTTTTTTACATATACTTTAGAACGAACTATCATGTCTAAAACCTTTTTTTTCCTTTCAAAGCGCTAATTACAGCAGCGTGTTTTTATTTTTTTTAATTCTTATTTAGTAATTTTGTTATTAAAAATTACATTTAGAATAAATAGAGTGGAATAGTTCGTCATTTAAACGTTACTCGAAATTTCGAATCTTTCAAGCTTGATGTACTTTTTGGTTTTTATTAATTACAGTAATGCTGCTTGGGCCTGTCATAAATATATCTTCTATCTATATATCTAAAAATGAATTGCTGTTCATTAGTCTCGCTAAAACTCGAGAGCGGCTGGACCGATTTGGCTAATTTTGGTCTCAAATTATTTGTGGAAGTCCAGAGAAGGTTTTAAAAGGCAGATAAATATAAAAATGCTCGGAATTAAATAAAAATAACAATTTCGTTTTCCCTTTGATGTGTCCCCCGTCGGACGGATTCCTTTTGTTTGTTTTAAGTTTTTTATATACAAAAGTTCAGGTCTTTTATTTATCGATTGAGGCGCTACGAAGTCTGCCGGGTCAGTTAGTCTAATAATACTTATTGTTCACAGAACTCGCAGCGTCTAGGTCGAGTGAGCCGAGCCGAAGCACGCGCCACCGCCATGGTTTTCATAATGATCATCGCGTTCACCGTAGCCTGGACACCCTACTCTCTCTTTGCTCTGATGGAACAGTTCGCCACTGAAGGCATTGTGAGTGTTTTAAAAGTGTAGAATTAATGGGCTGAAAATAACTAAGGATTATGTAAATTGACCGTTTTTTAATACGCTTCTATTAGCTTCAGAAGTATGTATGTTAGAATGTAACGGAATCTTTGAACATGATTTTGACCCCCTTCAAAACGTCGGATTAACTCGAAATTTGGTATACTTATTAGGGACCGATGACAAATGAATATTAAAAAAAAATAAAAAAAAAGAAATTGAAAAAATTGAAATTCAACTAAAAAATAAATAATAGTTTAAAAAAACTAACAAAATACATCATCATCGTCAGCCTTTATCTGCCCACTGCTGGGCATAGGCTTTTATAGAAAATCCAACTAAAAAATAGAAAATAAATTTTAATAAATTAAATTAAAAATAGTGTAAGAAAAAATGATTTTATTGTAAAAAAGCGTGGGGTGCACGGTATCAGTAGTTATAAATATTTTATGAACAGATATGAGTAGAAGGGTTATTTTGATAATATCCTAAAAAGCACTTCACGCTTTTTTACAATAAAATATTTTTTTCTTACACTATTTTTAATTCAAATTTATTAAAACTTATTCTCTTTGTATTACGAATTCGGATGCGTGCTTTTTCTTTTGTTTCATTGTGGTTTCTCTTTCTCTTCCTAGCTATTTATAGCAAAAGGGTTCGTTTTCCTTATTTTTTTCCTCCATTTCGCTCTGTCTTCAAAATCATCGTCAGTAACATTGCTTCATTGTGGTTTGAAAACCCTATGTTTGAATGTCTTTTCATTGTTTGCATTCAAAATACATTTAAAATATATATATTTTACATGGAAGATAAAAGAGAAGTACGCTCAATCAAAAACATGTACAACTATATTTGTAACGTACGGTAAATAATAGGTTATATAAAAAATAGTTTCAGACTTAATAAAACACGCATCAATAACAAGCGGAAAAAACAATTAACGTTTTTTCTTTGTGATCTGTTATTATCAATAAAATTATAATAATTCATCCGTCTTTGATACGTGTTTTTTTCAAGTTAATCGAAAAAAATTAACTTGGTGAAAATGCCGTTAAAAGATTTTCTTACATAGATACGTATATAGATACAGTTAAGTTAATAAAATGAGTGAAAAAAACATTCCGTGACGGAATTTCAATAGGATGCTAAAAGTTGGCGTTAATAAGTGGCGTTTTCAACATTCCTAGAATTCTTAAAACTCATTAACGATTCCAAGTGTACCGATCTCTCGAGAACTCATTACGAACCCTTTATTTTAGCTCACGGCTATTTCAATTGCCGGAAACTATTGATATTCAGTGCGTGTTACTCACAAGCCTGAGTGGCCAAATCTAATGTTAGAGAATCCTGGTCACACAATAGATGACACGTGAAAATACCCTTGGCAATTTATTTCTGGGACAGAGAAAATGCATGAAGTACAGATAAATTAGTTTCGTATTGAATTGTTGTGGATCCGTACACTTTGCAAAAATAGATTAGGTTTTTGGTGTTATTTATTACATATCGGAATTTAAAAAAAAGCTTAAAAGAATTTTGAAATGTTTTTCTTTTGTATGGGTGAGCTAACGAGCTCACGACCCATCCAATGTGGTTACCGGGAACCATCGACCTCACAAGGTGAATGCCGGCATCAGCTTGGCGACTTGATGTCAAATTATCAATTGTATATCGGCTGTATCGCCTTAAAAACAGAACGAGTATCTTCTCGCGCGGGCTTACAATACGTAGTTGACAATAGCAGTACGCTGATATAATCCTAATAAAATGCTACGGAAGAAATAGGGTAGTGCTAGCCAACATAATGTTGAATATGTTTTAGTAAAAGATTTAAGTTTGTTGAACCTTGATTGAACATAATTTTCTTTACATAGAAAGTTTGAAAATTTGTTATATCATTATAGGTATCGCCCGGGGCGAGTGTGATACCGGCACTGGTAGCGAAGAGTTCTATATGCTATGACCCTCTCATCTACGTCGGTATGAATACACAAGTAAGCTCTTGAAATAGCAAATAGTATTTTGAACAAAAAGTTACAGCTATTTTATTTTTGAATTGTCTATTTTACAGTTTCGTCAATCTATCAAACGTATATTTGGCATTCATACCAAATCGAAAAACTCGCACACCGAAAGAGGCTATAATAATACTCTGATGTCTCCAGCTCACAAACTATCGCTGAATAATACGAAATTTAATTCTGAAACTAATTCATCAACCGCAACTAAAACTTTGAAAGACAAGAGAGTCTTCTACGAAGATGCATCTGATGTTACTAATCAAGAATACCATAGGCAGTATACTAGGAACCCGGATTTGTGTACCATACAAGAAAATAAGACCGTATCGGATACTGATCGCTCAGGGGAGTCCGCCTATGACGATTCTAGCAGCAACAGAAAAATTGATATGTTCGGTGAATCTTGCAGAGCCGTCAACGAAAAATCTCCTGTACTGACAATAATGGATTCTGAGAGATTACTCTTTAGTAAAGTGCCATGTCGCAAAGATGACGAAACAGAAGCATCATCGTCCAATGTATACGGTAATACAGCTTTTGAAGAACACGCTACTGATGATACTATGAATGATAATAGTAATGCTGAGAACGATTACAAGAACTATGTGAGACACAAGATGATACGGCAAAGTTTCTCTTTAGATTTTCCACGGTATTCAAGCGAAAACAAAAAAAGGAAATTGTCAATTGAAACAAAACTGGAAAGTTTGATGCAACCGAAGAGTTTTCTCAAAGGCACAATTAGTAAGCTCTTCGATCACGAATACAAACAGGGCCACGATAGCTTCAAAAGTTATTTGTGTGATAAAAGTGGCACGGGAAATGACGAGTTGTAGTTCAATCTAAGTAATCGTCCTACGGGATAATTGGTAAATGAATTATCGAATAAAAGTCTCCTGATTCTTTACAGTAAATGATGCCACCGAAGATATAGGCACTTTTGCCATTTGTGGTTTGTAAGATAAAATTATGACTTTGTCTCCGCTGTCTCTTCTCTAATCAGACCGAGTCGGTACCAATTTAGGCCAGAAAGGTGCTGAAACGAGACACGTAAGTACGTAAATTAATAAGAATGAGAATGTAAATTAAAGATCTGTGATATAGATACGAGTGCCAAGAAATAAGAAACCAGAAAAATGTACTTATGAGGTAGGTAAATTAGAATTTAAATACGGGCAAGAAGGAAAAGCCATATTGGAGGGTAGAAAAAAACATTTAATTTGCTGTAATACGTAATCATACATATTTTAAAATATTTTGGACTTCATTAATTTATAACACGTACTTAAATGAATAATTGAATTGTATTTAAACTATTGAAGGGTGCTTGAAGAGGCTCTAGAGGTCCAGAATTTATCAAGTTGCTGTGGGATATTTTGCATTTTGTATAAATGGTCGTAGAATTTAATATAATACTGCATTCAACGAATGCTATTTATATATTGCGATTGTCATTTGGTGACTTAACCATTTTTAGTGATATAAGAATTTAAGAAAAGATTATATTATTAGACGAATAATTTTATGTAATTAACGTTGAATATTTGGAATGTCAATTGAACTTATTAACGTGTAAGATTTATTATATCAATATAATTATAAAATTGTTATATTATATTCATTCACATTTTATTCTGGTACTTTGAATGAGTACTGAAAAAAGTGTAATTTTTAATGAAATTTGCTCAATGATTATTGCGGATAGAATATTCCAAATTGACGGCTAACGGTGGAGTGGTACAAGAAAAAAAATATTTATTGTTCGGCGGCTTAGAGTAGGTTAAGAAAATTATTATTTGCTATTGTAAAAAGATTGTGTGATATTATAAAAAAAATGGAATTATGTTGGATTTACTAATTTAGTTATCATCAAAAATTTTTGACTCAATCAACTATTTTTTATTTTAGATTAAGGACGTATTAGAATTCGGTGTGCTCATGTCTTGCTTAAAATGCTTAATTAAAATTAATTTTAATATTTACTCTAGCATTTTTGTTATCATTATGTTAAACGTTCGAATACTTGACAATTTTCGTGGCTACTGACAGTCTTTAATAAAACGCAAGATTAAATTATTAAGTTGTTTTAAGTATGTCTACAACACACAAATACCGAAGAGATTATTAAAATGCTTAATTTTTAGCCAATAAAACAAGTTATGGTATTTTTTACCATCGCACCGCCCGCCACCGGAGTAGAGTTCATCCATACTACCTGGAGCCACTGCGGTCATCCACAGTGCGTTTCCAGAGATCTTTTTTGCCACGTACCATCCGGCTATGGAATGAGCTCCCCTCCACGGTGTTTCCCGAGCGCTATGACATGTCCTTCTTCAAACGAGGCTTGTGGAGAGTATTAAGCGGTAGGCAGCGGCTTGGCTCTGCCCCTGGCATTGCTGAAGTCCATGGGCGACGGTAACCACTCACCATCAGGTGGGCCGTATGCTCGTCTGCCTACAAAGGCAATAATAAAAAAAAATTGCTCTGATGGTTCGGATTTTCATTGACAAATAATGTGAATAAGGAAATTAAATGTTTTAGATTATTCTTACTCCAATTTATAGTTGTTCTCACTTGAGGACAACGAAATTTCTCAACAGAGAAAATTAAATGAAAATTGAATTCCTGTTGTGTAACGATTATTTGGCTTTATGAAGAAGGAATTCTATTATATTTAATTATTCTATTATACTAATGAAGGATTCATGTTTTCTTAAGTCTTAAAATATTGTCTAATGTGACCATTCTATTCTACGTCACACAAATCGATTTAGTTAACTGTGCGTGTTTATTAGGTACTAGATGACCCGGCGAACTTTGTTCCGCCTTAGAGGCAATAAATGAGCAGACTTTTGATTTTATCATGGTCAATTTCTTATTTGGATAATTAATATAAATTAAAATAGCAAGTATTTTAATGATACTTTATTGGCCATGTATTTTAGCTGGTATTATTATTATTGTATTTTCTTGTTCTTCTTCAGTCCTTTCACTCGCACTGTTTCGAATCCTAGTTGCATTACGGCTTCGTCGGGAAAGATTTGATCGTGCTGGTCGCGGCATGGCTTTCTTAATGATTACTTATCTCGGCACAATAAATATAAATTCGAAACAAACACACCAATCGGTCAACTTCAAAATTCTACTATAATTAGCCATAGACTACATTACGTTTAGCTGTCAGTTGCATTTTGTTATTCCATATCAGTTGCGTTTTTTTATACCACGTTTTATGTCGCGTCCCACGGGAGCGTGATAAAAAGTATCCTATGTCCTTCTCCTGGTTCTAAGCTACCTCCCCACCAATTTTCAGCCAAATCAGTTCAGCCGTTCTTGAGTTATAAATAGTGTAACTAACACGACTTTCTTTTATGTATATAGATTAGTGACCTCATTCAATCTTGGTTTGATTAAATAATCTTGGATTACAAAAATAATAACCTTCATATTATTACCCCTCTTTATTCTATTATTTATCTATATCGTATTTCTCTATTTATTCCCAGTTCGTTTTTTTTATTGTAATAAAATAATTTAGTCCCCTTGTCTTTTGCTATTCCAAAATTCAACAAAGAAACGGTGCAATGATTGAATACGCTTTATTCCTACCACTATTTGAAAGAGTTTAAAAAACGTCACGTCATGTATTGTAGTTATGTTATTGAAATAATAACTACGGACGGAAAGAGCCCTTGGGATGAACTCGAATCAAACGAACTAGCCGACCTCTTTAGAAGACAGTTCTTTATCGATAAATTACTGGGATATTTAAGTAGTGGTTTTTATCGTGAAGTTATTTGTTATGCACCAGCTTTCCAGCCACATTTTCGCCACCATGTATGTACTTTGCTATATATTACCCGTGCTCGGTCGTGGGAGGAAATATATTTCCCAGCGTTCAAGGTATACCCATACGGCCCTAAGAAAACATTGGTTTAGAGATTTGGGCCCAAAGCGTAAGAGATATAATTAATTGCCTTCGTATTAATATTGTATTGCTATGTAGTATCTTTTATCTACAAAAGTAAATTTAGTAATGTTTTCAATATTTTGGCAATAGGTGATTTCGATGAAACAAATATTAAATTCCGTTGCAAATTAATCTCTATCTACCGGTGAAAATCCATTCAGCATTTCCGGAGATTGCGCGAATTGTCCAAACAAAGATGGAAAATTATTAAAAAAATAGCTGGTGTTTCGGTTATTTTTATTACTTTTATTCAATTGAATGTTCAGAAACACCGGTGTGGCGTTAGCCATCACCGAACACAAGATATTCAGTCCGAGTTGACAGATGCCTGAATCTCGCTTATGACATTTTCAAGATAAGCTCACATATATACAAGTTCCGAACAACAACATTTGGACCGTCAGTCTTGCGAGCATTTTCACCCCCTCGGTGGAAGATATTCTGTTCATAGTTCTATCGGTGACACCGATGTAATTTGAATACGCAACCTTCTGATCTGGAGTCAGACGCACAGGATTCTACACTTTCATTATATTATTATTGTTGTTAGCGATGACTAATAAGTACAGCTCACACACAAACCCTTCGAGAATGGGGATGGAAAATTAATAATCCGGTTTTTTTTTTAAAGCCAAAGATCTATATTTGAGAGCTCACGATTGAAGGCTTGTATTTTTAAATGATTTCAAAAAGGGAAGAGGTTCTCAATGTCAATATTTTTTTTTTACATCCGAACTTTTTTTTGGGTGAACCGTTTTTGAATTTTGAATTTTTTTATTTGAATAATCATATGGTTCTATTTAATTTTTATCACGATCTGACCAATGGTTTTTGAGTAATCCTTAGTAGTGTTTAATTGACTTTGATCACATTTATTTTGGAGAATTCGGTTTTGTTCTTTGTACTTATAGCCGTAGCTCCATTTAAATGTGGAATCGTATTAATTTTCCGCACTTATAATTATCTCATAATATTGTGAAAATATACAATACATGTGGGATGTGAACGAGTCACACACAGACCTCGTTTGACCAACTCGTTTGACTCTACCCCGTGACAATTGTACTTGTATATTCATGTAATGGCAAAGGGGATTGTGATAAAGACAGCTGCTCATCTGCCGCAGACACACACGGCGTTTATTTACGAAAATATAATTACAATTACTTTTACGGCTTTATCTCAACGTTTTTAATATCATGATATTAGTGAGGCACCTGTGACAGAGAAGCTGAGGAGTGCGCGTTTGGGATGGTATGAGCATGTGATGAGACGAAATGAAAATGAGGTTGGTAAGAGAGTGTTAACTATGAATGTGGAAGGATATAGAGAAAGAGGTAGACCTAAGAAGAAATGGATGGATTGTGTGAAAGACGATATGAGTAAGAGGGGAGTGAGCGAAGAAATGGTATATGATAGAAGAGTATGGAAGGAGAAAACATGTTGCGCCGACCCCAGGTGACTGGGAGAAGGGCAGGATAATAATGATATTAGACGACTCTTTCGAATAATGAACAGGTTTTATAGATTCATAGATTCGTTCTGTGTGAAATGAAACATAAAATTGGAAAGCTTTTTTTGTTGTTGGAAATATACGTTAGTGTGCGCGCGATTTGTATGTGACGAATAAAAGTTTCGTTAATACACGGTTTCGGTAAAACAATGACAATAAAAGAAGTTAAATTAAGGCGTCTATATGTAATTTTATTTATGTTCACAACTCGCCAAATATTATTATATTCTTTTTGTGAGCATCCACAGTTAACGCAATCGTAATTAAGAATGTTTTATTAATTATTGACAATAAGATGTGTTAATGTGTAAATTAGATAAATTAGCACACATTTATTTGAAGGCTTTGTAAATGTCGTTTTTATTAAATAAAATTTACATTCAAAGTGTTGTAAGGTTAAGAATGTTTCGAAGAGAAAAAAAAATCTGTTGGATAATCAACGTAATGGTTTTTTTTTTTTTTTTGGTAATAATTTCTCCTCCCTTCAATCGTCTATCATATTTATATTTCTGTATTTACCAAACTATATGTTATATCTTGTTCTTAGAAGTGGACCATCAGAAATCGTAGTTCGAATTCTGTAACAATTGTTGTAACTAGAACTTGATTGAGTTTAATTAACATTAAATTTTCCTATTTTCCATTGATATATTAACTATATTATGAAAACAAATTAATGAGATAGTAATGAGACCCTAAATGTGAGGGTACTCGGACTTCGGTAGTCATCGAAAAGCTTATAAATATTTGAATTAATTATTTCTTATATGTTTGAATAAACGAAAATATATTGTCTATGTTCGCCTCATTGAATGTTTGAATAAATTAAAAAATATTATAAATTTTTGTTGTTTCATTTATGAATATCTGTTTATTGTTTTGTTTTTTTTTTCGACGTTAATCTGACTGTCTACCACCAGCTTAATGACTTACGAAACTTGTAGATATTGCGTGTATAAAATGCTTCCATTCTTCAGATTTTTTTTTATTTTTTATTGCCCGTGTAGGCAGATGACCTTACAGCCCACCTGACGGTGAGTGGTTACCCTCGCCCATGGACAGCAGCAATGCTAGGGACAGAGCCACGCCACTGCCTACCGTTAAGTACTTTCCACAAGCCTCGTTTGAAGAAGTCATGTCATAGCGACAATAGTTTCGCAGTTCTGAGGTGTGGCAGCGGTTGTGACAGCTAATAGGGCATTTCGATTTTTACCATCGTTTGTATCAACACCCTGGTAGATACCACCATCCTGTCTATATCTGCCGTGAAGCAGCAATGTTTCGGTTTGAAGGGTGGGGTAGCCGTTCTATTGTAAAAACTGAGACCTTAGAACTCATATCTCGAGGTGGGTGGCACCTTTGACGTTGTTGAAGTCTATGGGCTCTGGTAAACACATACAACACATTTTTTACTGGTGGTAGTAGCTCTTGTGAGTCCGCACGGGTAGGTACCACCACCCTGTCTGTTTCTGTCGTGAAGCAGTAATG